ATGCAAAGGTTTGAAAGAAAAAAAAAAAAAAAAAAAAGAAACGAAATTGCCTTGCTGTGGAGTCAGTGAAGGAACTAGACGTAGTAAAGGCCAACTTTTATCATTTCAGTTCAGTTGTATGTTACCTACTAAAACATACTAGAAAATCAAATTAATAGACAAATAAATATTTATGGCCTCTTTAAATTAAATTACCCTCTGTTGAAACATGAATGACTGAAATTTGCTTAAACAATGAATTTATTTATAGCATTTATTTACTCCTTTAGTCGTACGTAGGCGTAGCACGTAGGTATAGCACGTACGTAGCATAGATATAGCACGTAGGCGGCAAGATGCTTATCAAACATATTATATTTCTGTAAAAAAGGGCAGCCAATTTTAATATGAATGTGGGCGGCCGACGATCTCGGATCGGCACTGGTTTGGTAATTTGGTAACATTAATCAGGAATGGGCTCCGAAGAACCGTTGAAGGATCAAAGTTCGTTATTACCATATGAGGCTCTATAACAGCATTAAACCTTTGCGGCACAGTGTGTCCAGTCTGGACACACCTAAAAATTTCCTTCTCTACGCACAGAAAAATTGAATGAAAAAGGATTTATAGGTTACTATAGGTTACTCTGAACCTTCTTTATTTATAGTAGATGGCAGCTCACCACAAACCAGTCCATATATTTTAGCCATGTTTAGTTTTTTAGTTTTTTAAGACCCTCATTTTTCAAAGAAATCTTTCACATTTTTTTAGGGTATAAAAGGAATTGTTTGAAAAGAAATTTCTATGTTATTGTTTTGGCTGTATACTAATCTCCTTATTCTACAATTCTTGTATGTAAGTTTTAAATTTTTACCTTGAAATCTTGCCTAAAATCAAACGGCGAACCCTATGTGTGTCCAGACCGGGCTCACCGATAATCTAGGACAACTGCGAGTCTGTATTCCTTGTTTCTCCGCATCTCATCGGTCGGTTCATTGACAACAATGCTCGTTTCACCACTCTTTTCGAAGCGCTATTCAATTAGTGTGCCACTTTGGGCACACCCACAGAATTAAAACGATAAGTGCTATCTTCACAAAATTTTACTTGTGTGCTCCTCTAGGCCTAATTAGACTGCCTGCCTACCTTTTTTTCTTTTCTTTTTTTTTTTTTTTTATCAAAACTCCGACTTTAAGAGGTAGCCTGCCGGAAAGGGTTAGCTTCATCATGAAACACTGATATGTTTGATGATGTCTTCAACTGAATTTTTCCAATCCTTTTCCTGAGGTACGTTTTAATTATTCTGACAAATAAACGTTTGAAATGCTTTTGACCCTTTCCATGTCTTGCTTTATAAAAAAAAGTTTACACGACATTTTAATTCGATTCAATGTATCATAACAGCACGTCATTGCAAAATTTTTCGTTCGGAATTTATTTATAAAGATCGCTTGCTTTACATGTCCCCCGATAGATGGCAGCATAAATCAGCCCTAAAACTTAATTCTTTGCTTAAGGTGTTTCTTTTTTTTTCTTTTTTTTTTCCTTGAATGATTCTTTTCGATTAAGCCCGTTTTGCGACCAATCGAATTTTTCAAAGAATTAAACATGAAGTTATCATTATAATAAATATCTTTATGTGTAATGTTGGTAATATGAGTCCATTAAATAATTCATTTCTTCTGATTTTCAGTAGCAGTTTAAGTGGTCGTTTACGTCTTTTCCACCTAAAATATGAATGAATGATTTGATCTGATCTGAACTCGCCTTCATAAATCCTGAGCCGTAGCGATTTTAAGGCGGGCGATATTGGGTAACCAGCCACAATGCTGAACGCAATGGAGCGCTGCTACAAGTAATTGAGATCTTGAGAGCATCAAAAAGCATTTTTTGAAACAATCTATCATGATTTCGCTATTTTTAGTTTTGGGGAGAAAGCTCTGAAATAAAATTCGCCTAAGTAGCAAAATAGAGTAAGGCCGGCCCTGGTCCTGAGTACAGTTGTAAATACTATCAATAGGACCTCTGAGATATTTTTAAAATGAAAGCAAGTGAGGTTTAAAATTTTTCTAAATTACAGCTTTCTAACAAAACTGGACTTTGATTCAGTACTTTAAGTATTATAAGAAAAAGGAGCAGGAATGTGATTGAGTATTATAATTACATTGTTTTAACTCATATTTTATATTTATATTCGTTTCTTGTAAGGCGTAATTATGGGGTTTTATACTGAGAAAGATGAATGTGAAGACATTTTTAAAGAAGAATGCAAGGAAAAAAAGTGAAATATAATTTTTAAAAAGGACATCATCGTAAAACTGTAACTAAAAGGAAAGCGAGTTAATTCATAATGATAACCAAAACATGCTTTTTCAGTTCCCAGAAATGTTCAGCTGAAATTGTTCACCAGGCTCACAGGTTGCCTTTCCAATATCTAATGATTAACGGTGTTCTTTACCGTGACGAAATAGTTTACATACGCTACCTAACATTGCACTCATGTTTAGGTCTTTCATAAGCATAGCTTAACATTATGTAACGTTATGTAATGTGATATTCATCTTAAAGTCCCATCTTCCGTGATATAACTGCAACTAGGAGCTGTCTACGCCTGCAGTATACACTTCTATTACTCGCTTAGATATAATTGGTTCAATATCTTGTTAAAAGTATCATATATACTGCAAATCCCATACGGCATAACTTCATCTATGAGTTTTAGGCAGCATTCTGAGGGAACTCAGATGAATTTATTATACTGATCCCTATCTTGAGCAATAAGTACAGAAAATAAATTTTGTTTATCTCAAGCACATATCATGTCACGTCTGTAATCATATCATGCCTGCAGATATATTTTAAATATCTCAAGCACATATCATATCACATATCATAAGTACATATCATATCTCAAACACATATCATATCATGCCTGCAGATATATTTTAAATAGACCTTCTCGGCCTTTCCAACCGATAGTTGCTTTAATAAAAAAATTTTCTTTCCCAGATCTACTAAGCTTTCATTTGCGGCAACCGTGATCACACCAGGGCTATTAATCATTTTATTATCTGTATATGAGCTATACATATATTCAATTTCATCAGAAACAACCACTTCCTTCATGGTGCCTTCGATATTTTTATAAAAGAGTGTATATTGCATGGACATTCTTAAATGAACGTTTATGAATTACTAAAATTTTCCCAGTGGTAATTTTAGTTTTCTACATAATTTATCAGGAAATGATAAAGGTAATTTACGGAAAAACTGTAACAATTTTGGAAAAAATCTAGAAATGTGCTGTTAAAGGTATTTAAAAAGATATGTTTAAAAATCAAAATCCTTTTGCATTCTGCAGTTAATTTCATCTAGGGATTTAGCTTTTACAACTTACCGAATACATAAGAATATTAATGCCATTGATTATGAATACTGCAAGCGATGAAATATCATTTCTAAACTAAAATTAATCAAGAGTTATTTATGTATTAGTATGACATGTGAAAGATTTGTGCAACTAGTGTTAATAGGTATTGAAAATTATGTATGTACCAAATCAGACATGAAGGAAATAAGTTTTACTGTCATTCGTTTAAAGTATAAAAAAATAAAAGTTCCAAACTAAAAAAATTATTTAAACACTTCACTTTTTTTTTTTTTAATTCTCAGGCGGGCACTGAGCACCCTAGTGCCGGTTCTGCCTCGAACCGCTACCATCAATTGTAGGCGTGTTAATTGAAGTCAGGAATCGCTCATGTCTGACTGAGCAATGTAAAAAAAAAATATAAGATTTCTTTTCATTCTCAGATGGTTTATCTGAATAATTTTCACTCTTGTATTTGATCCGAATAAATGACTTCATTGTTGATCACTGTGATTTCGTTTCTTGCTGTGTACTTTGCACAAGCCAACTTCCCTTCCCCTTAGATGATTCCTTCCAAACAGTGTCCTTCCCCTTTTTTTTGTTATGCTTGTGGAAAGGTTGATTTTTAAAGAGCGTTTTTACATTTACCGGCGACGTGTAAGAAGCAGCATTCTATAGAATGCCTAAAAAAATGTATAGAATATTTGATGTTTAAAGCAAAGAGATAAATGTATGTGCAGTTTTGATACTTCTTTTAGGTTTCTTAAAATATCTAAGCATTATACAGAATGGAAAGTGATATTTAGGCAAAGTACAAAGAGAAATTTATGAAAAGGACTTTACTGAAAAGATTTTAATTGTGCTTTAGATTGCTCTGCACAGAATAGTCACTGCATCGTGATTATTGCTTGGATTTTGTACTTCGTTCCTTCATTTTCATACAGCACAGAAGCCTACCAATAACCGATAACTTGTGGTAAGACTATTGAACATTGGTAGTTCAAATCTCGCTGAACCAGAGGAATTTTGGCTGAGGCCAATACTTAAAGTCACGTTTCTCGTCGCTTTACAAGAACAAACTTTGTAAGTAAGAACAAACTTTGTTGCAGTCTAAAAGAGGGTGAACAGTGTTGTTTTGTTGCAGTAAAAAAGAGGGTGAAGGTTTTCAATTTTTAATCCATTTTACCTTTACTTTGATAGTTTTTTTGCCCCGCCCACGAATGATGAATAAATTGAATAATGAAGCATGGTGAATAAGATTGAATAAATTTCACCTTTTTGATAAAAAAATAAGCTCCTCTAAAAAAAAAAATAATAATAGCTGAGATTCGATAATTTCAAATGAAATAAATTTTTACAAAATTGTATTCATAGGGATCTGAAATGGAATTCCGTTGAGACAAAATTCACTCCGTTCTTTCACTTTTTAGCAAATGGCGTAAAGGATGGTTAGATTTAAAAACTAACTCTGTACCTTTTCCAGCAGTCAGACATTCTACTTATATTTTGGATTGAGACTTAAAAAACAGTTAATAACTAAATCGCCAATATAGCCTTGTTTTGTTCTAGTGTCAAAAAATAAATTTAAGAACGATAATTTATGATCCTTATTTTACATCTCTGATTTTAACACTTTTCTCTCTTCTCTTTTCAGATGTAGAAGAAAATGCGGTGATTAAATTAATGGTAAGTAAATAACACTTAAATGCTTTTTAGTAATTAAGTATACAATTTGTGTAAATGAACTGTCAATTAATAATGGGCTAAATGAAACCTTAATTGAACATTAATTATAATTATAACAAAAAAGAAGTCATAAGCATTTCTACTGTTCACGACACGAATCCCCATTTCTCAGGTACTAAACGTCATTGTAAGTGTACTAATATAGAATTCATGAACTGTCGGATTAGAGGTAAAAAATGTTGGTTTGGTTTGGTTAATTAGATTACGGCAAAGCACTCGAGGGCTATCTGCCTTAAGGGAGGGATGTCTTCGGGGAGGGCATTTTAAGGGAAACTGGCTCGTATACACATTGCACAGGGGAAAACGACGAAAACACCCATGCAGCCAGCCCGTTCACGGGATTAGAACCTCAAACCGAACTACCAATGTTTAGCGACGTTACCGCTCGGCCGCTGGTGGGCCAGAGGTAAAAAAAAAGGAAGGAAAACTCTACAACACAAGTAAAAAGGTACACTGCGCATCTCCTGTTCTATTGGACCGATTGAAGAACTTCCAACTTTCGTTTTTTATGTCTCAAGAGCGCGACTAGGATATGTATTAGATTTGTGCACAGCGTTGTTCTAATATAGGTATTTTGACACAAATCGGACCTTTTCTGAAATGACGTACCAAATTATTACCGACTCAAAACTATGCCAAACTTCCAAGTTGTGTAAAAATCGCACGAGTAATTTTTAAAAAATTAGCTCTCAAAATTTTAGCTTCTCAATGTTAATTGAATTTGATATATATTTATTAATATCTCTTTTTTTTTATTAAACGTACTTGGTTCTTTCTTCCAGAATTCGAAGTTTAGGCTTAATATAAATGTAATTCGTACATTCTTTATGATTTATTTTTAAAATATGTATTTTAAATTATTTCTTATTAATTTTTCAAGAAACTTTTTGTATTATAACCTATAAATTTTTTAACGTCATCTTAAAGTAGATTTATTTCTAGGCACACTTGCAAAAAAATTAGAGGTTTTTTTATTCAAAATTTTCTAAAATATACGTGAATTTACATATTGGAACGTTTTGAAATTTGGCATCTTTTATTTGAGCGATAATAACGCCAGATGTGTTAAAATTGTTTGAAGTATGTACGATGACTTTTCCCTGCTCTTCTAGAATGAAAAAAAGGAAAGGAAACTAGGTGGCTATAAATTAAGAAGTTCTCGCCAAGTAAATTATTCTTGGCGAAAAAACTGAAAAAACATATGCCAAGACAAATTTCTGAATTTCTCCATAAATTTCGAACCAAATTTTACAAAAGTTAATATTTAGACATAAATCGAGTCGTAGAAGTGAAAATTGACATATCGTTTCAGAAATTGTCCAATTTTGGGTCAAAATAGATGCTTTATATAAATCTAATATGTATCCTAAGTCACGCTTTTGGAGACATGAAAAACGCCATTTCAATTTCGTCAATTGGCCCAGTAGAAAGGGGGATATAGAAGTGCCTTTTTTTCGCAGAGTTGCAACATGTCTCTTAAACGTATTTAGCATGCTTACAATGTCAGAAGAAATTCACAAAGTTAATTCCATCTGCGGCAATACAAACCTAAAAACGTCAAGTCATGGATCGGCGAATGTATTAAATGCGAGGCCCTTCAGACACAAGTATTGCTGCCTCAATGACTTTTTAAAAAAAAAAGTGGTGTAGGAGGTTGCAAGGTTTTCGTTCATGAGGCTTTTCAGTTAACCCTTAGAGAAGAAATCATATTAGGTGACAAGGCGGGTGATAGTGATGGTCAAAGGCCCGATCTACCTTCACCAGTAGATCACAAAAAAGACTCTACTGAGATACTCATGAATATCAAAGCTGAAATGGGCAGGCTGCCATGCTGAAAACCCATGCAAAACATCATACAGTAGTTTCAGCTCGACTTTCTGTAAAAATATCCAATAACTACATCCCTTTGGTCGTAATGGAAGAAGATAAATCGAAAGCGAGGAGTCTTTAAGCACTTTGCTTGCCCAAACATTTATTTTGAATCGTGCGCAGCATGTGCTATACACCTTATTAGGGTCCATTCATCCAGATATTCACATTACACATATTAAGAGCGGTATTACGTGTGAAGCTAATTTCATTAGTGCAAAGAACTCAAGCTGGATATTCCAACTGTGCGACATAGTTTTGAAAACAAATTCAGTGTGCGACTTCCTTGCGCTGTGCGTAATCTCCTGCCTCATCCGTTACATATCAAAAATGTAATCTTCTTACTTACTGAACTGAAGTAACAATACTGAACTGAGGTAACAAACCTGATGCGAAATAACTTGCGAATTTGCACATGGACTGCCATCAAGTTTTTATACGACCAATTTCTTCCATAATAAGTGGACATGTCGCTCCGTCCCGAGCACATTGGCTGTTTGTGCCCCGGAAACTAACTGCACACTATCTGTGCGCAAGATAATATTTCGAAAACTTTGTTCATAGCACAGAAGAAAGTTGATAAAATCAGCTAGTTAAATACTGATCTTGCAGCCTCTCTAATGGAATCGGAAATCTGTTAATTTTCCCTTCTTGAAGGGATTTCTAGCAATTGGAAGGCGCTGCGACCATAGTGTAAATATGCTGTGCTTTTTGGCTCATGTTATAATTATTTATTTGCATTTATATCTTGTGTATTTTCGGTGATTTTAGGATTTTTCAAGTGGAATTATGATCACTGCCTTAATTTTAAGCAATTTTACGGTACATTCATCCTTTTTTTTTTTTTTTTTTTTTTTTATGCTTTGTAAAGAAAAATAGTAAACGTTACTGCTAAGCCTAATTTATCGGCGATACTGCTCCCATGACGGCAGACGGCAGTTGACGGTGATACGTTTTACAGCGCATTTGAGAACTGTTGCAGATCATTCCACATTGCATAAAATACAAAACAAATCTGAATGCTCAGATGAGGGAGAAAGCAAAGAATGTTCTTGGTGAATTAAAACATTTAATTGTGAAGACGTTTGAAAGCTTTAAGACTGAAAATTGCAGCTAGGCTTATAAGGTATTTCTCCCGCCTTTCTTAGCGTGCATTCGTGGTGTGCTGGTCTGCACGCTGGGCGCGTATTCCAGAGGTCCATGGTTCGATTCCCGAAAAAGGCGTTGCTCATTTTTCATCTCTCTTATTTCAAAAAAAAAAAAAAAAAATCCTAATGTCTCAACACTGGCGCCCGAACTGAAAAAAGGAGGTGGATGACGATTCTCCAACACCAGGATTTGGCGATTGGGTCCCCAGTCGCCCTTTAAAAGTGGGAGTATATAAGGTATTTCTCCTTCCTTTATAGCGTGCCTTCGTGGTGTAGTGGTCTGCACGCTCGGCGCGTATTCGAGACGTCCGTGATTCGATTCCCGGAGAGGGCGTTGCTCATTTTTCACTTCCCCTGCTTTTAAAAAATACCTAATGTCTCTACACTGGCGCCCGAAGTAAAAGGGTGGTTCTCCTCACCCAGGATTTGTCGCTTGGCCCTAAAACCCCTGTCGCCCTTTAAAAAGGAGGGAGTATATAAGGTATTTTTCCCGCCTCCTTAGCGTGCCTTCGTGGTATAGGGGTCTGCATACTGGGCGCGTATTCCAGAGGTCCATGGTTCGATTCCCGGCGAGGGCATTGCTCATTTTTGATCTCTCTTGCTTAAAAAAAAATTACCTAATGTCTCTGCAGGCTTACTAAAGCGCATTACCTGATAGCTGCAGGAAATTTTATTCTGAAATTGTAGCACCACCTGTTAGCCAATTCCAAAGTAAAACTTTTGAATTTAATAATTTTCTTAAATCAACTGACTGTATTTGCTCAGTTAAAGAGGTTAAAAAACTGATCAAAGCTGAAGGCGATCGAAGAAAAGCAAAGGTTGGTGTCAGGGGAATAAAATGTGTTGGTAAAAAGCTGCTTGTAAAGTGCTCCTCAGGAGAAGATAAGAAACAGTTTCAAGATGCTTTATTGAATAAACGAAATTCAACTGCTGCTTTTGCTAAAGATAGAAATCCGAAGCTTCTTCTTAAAAATGTCCCAAATAATATCAGCAAGGCCGAATTAGTATATGTGCTGAAAGAGCAGAATCCTGAAATGGATAAATTAACAGAAGTATGTGATCAAAAGAAAGTGAGATTTGTGTTGAAGAAATTTGGAGATGGAAGGCGTATTGTAATGAAAACGAACGCAGCTTGTTATAAGAGATTCGTAAGTTTAAATTCTTTAATTCTGGAAGTGTAAAGTAGAAAGTTTTGTTGTCTTAAATAGTTGTTTCAAATATTTATCGTACAATCACACACCTAAGTGTATGGGAGTTCAGAATGTGATCAGGATATTCAGATATGTTTAGACTGTGTCCAATTTAATAAAAGAACTATGAATGCTGCAAATGAAGCTGATGTTAATCATAAACTCTTTTCAAATTGCTATAATACACGTGAGTTTTTTAAAAATGTGATTACTTCTCAAACTTTCTACGCCTAATATTTCTTTTCGAATTTCCCTGCATGTTAAATTTGCATAAATCTAAAGTTGCCCCACAGGAGTTACTTCCTTATATAGAAAATGCTGACATTCATGTTGCTCTTATTCAAGAGCCTCATTGTTTCAACGGAACACTTTCTGGATATCTACAAAAGTACAGAGTTTTCTTCAATTCGACTTCTGAAATTATTAAGGCAGTCATTATAATTCGCTCAGGTTCTGTATCTGCTTGACTTAGAAAATATTAATCATAACATGATTACTGTTGATATTTCAGTTGCGTATTTTGATTTTGTCTTGTTTTTCTATTATTTTGAACCTTCTACGCTGAACACTGAGGCTGATCTTACAGAAATCATTTGGTGTTTTAAGAAAAAAAAAAGATGCACCATTTGATCTGAAGTATGGATTCAAATAGTGAATCAGGTACTTGGTTTAGTCTCTTTCTAGAGTCATTAGGTTATTTTGAAGCAAGAGAAGTGAAAAATGTGCAGTGCCTCCGCCGGGACTCGAACCCTGGACCTCTCAAATACGCGTCGAGTATATTTCCAATTACAGCACGAATACATTCCGAAAGGAGGGAGAAAATACCTTATGTACTCACCCTTTTAAAGGGCGAGTGGGAGTTAGAGGACCCAAGGCTCCAAATCCTGGTGGTGACGAATTATTATTCACCACTTTTAGTTCGGACGCCGCTGTAGAGTCAATAGGTTATTTTGAAATATGGGACGTGAAAATGTACAATACTTTTACCGGGATTCGAACCCTTGATCTCTGGAATATACGTCAGGTATGTTTCCAATTACACCACGAGGCCATGCAAAAAGGAAGGAGAAACTATATTATACCTTCGCTGACTCCAGGGTTTTAAAGCTGCTTGAGTTTCTGAGCGCCTGGCATTTTTTTTTACTAATGAAGATTATGGACTAAGCTTTATGGCACACAGAGATCTAGTTATACCTGTGGGCCATTTATTGTGGCACACGCACACAGGGGTCTAGTTTCAGCAATATTTTAAGGTGTGCCTCGGAAAGTGTTCTTATTAAAAGAGTAAACGGGAGTCATTTTGAAAGTTTTTACATGAAATATAAATTATAATTGCTTAACATTTTGCAAAATTATACTTGTTCATAAATGTTAGGTAACATTGTTGTAAAACTGCAAAACATAATTATTTCTGCTACAGAACACTTCATCCCACTGAAGAAATCTCGTTTGCGTAATGTTCCATGGTGGTCAATCAACATCGCTTGTACGCGCAAAGGGTTAAATGTAGCTAGAAGGAGAGAACAAAGAGCTAGAAGTATCAAAGAGAACAAAGAGCTAGAAGTATGTATCACAGAGCTAGACACACAATTTTTGAGAGATGTTTATAAGAACAGTTATTTGCAAGTAAGTTAGAAGAAAATGAATTGAATTCTTGGAAGTACTTTCTCAATGATGTTACAATGCAAAATGTTTGGGAGAAGGTTTATTCTTTCGGTTGGGAGAAGGTTTATCCTTTCGGTGTTAAAATGAATTCTTTTTAAAATATTGAAATTTTATGAACTGAACTGTAGTTAGGGCACGTTACTTCATCCTTTGAGGCTACAGTAGATGCCATTTTATAACACTCATTTCCTCTTGACAGCTTTGTTCACTCTGAGAAATTTCACGCTCTTTCCGCTCTGAGATAATTTCTTTTTATGATGCAGATGATGATTTTCCTTTTTCCATAGCTGAAGTTGATGATTTTATTACGAGTTTAGAATTAGGTAAAACTCCTAGACTGGACCGAATCACAAATGAAATGAATCAGAATCTTCATGACGTTTGATCATCTATCTTATACAAATTATATATTGTATGCAGCGGATGATTTTAAAGTGCATAGAAAATTCACAAATGTCAAAATGCAACGCTGAGCGTTGTCATGGGATTATTAATGATGGTTTGGTTTATAAGGTATATCTTCCGCCTTCTTAGCATGCCTTCGTGGTGTAGTGGTCTGCACGCTAGGCGCGTATTCCAGAGGTTCGTGGTTCGATTCTAAGCGAAGGCGTTGCTCATTTTTCATCTCTCCTGATTCGAAAATACATAATGTCTCTACACTGGCTCCCGAACTAAAAGGGTGGTGGATGATGATTCTCACCACCGAGAATTTGGCTATTGTGTCCCCTAAAAACCTCAGTCGCCCTTTAAAAGGGGGAGTATATAAGGTATTTCCCCGGCCTTCTTGGCATGCCTTCGTGGTGTGATGGTCTGCACGCTGGGCGCATATTCCAGAGATCCTCGGTTCGATTTCCGGCGAAGGAGTTGCATGTTTTTCATCTCTCCTGCTTCCGAAATAAATCTAATGACTCTACAAAGCATCAGTTCCATAACACCGATGGAAATTGATGTATAACTAAAACCATTTTCAGACTTAAAACTGGCCATCACAGAGGATGGAAAATTAACCGAGATAGTAGGAAAACTTATAGGAATTGTGATAATTGACCGAACACAGGACTGTTAACTGCACATATTTTTGATTGTCCGGCCATCCTTGCTGAATCGCTAAAAATTGGGGGTCTTGTTTAAGAGACATTACAAAATCTGCTTATTCTGTTCCTGTACTTACTTCTAAATTTTTGCCAGACATTTTCTAGTTGCATTGTATATGTAGACTATTTCAAAAATTTTTAGAAAGGCATTGACCCTAAGTCGGGGATACAAAAGAAACTTTCTTTCATAGGGACACTTAGCCGCAAAAGCTATTTATGTTGCGTGTTACAAAGGTCGATGTTTGCCAGAAATATCCTTGGCAGCACGAGTCACTGCTTCGTGAGACGCTGATGTTGAAGCAGCATGATGCACTGTTACTACCATGGGGCTCTCGCAGAGTGCAGCTTAAATGTGCAGCTCAACAGCCTCTATCTCGTAGGATGGATCATGGATACGTTTCTTCTATACCACAATTATCCTACTTTTCCCATTGTTTCCTTCCTTGCATTACCACAAAACTCTGGTGTGCGACAGCCCCTTAGCTTCAGATCTTAACCTCCTCCTTGATGCGAGTAGGCTAACAGAAGACAAAAACCTGAAATTCTTCTTAATCTTTTATCGGAAGTTAAAGAAATATAAATTGTTAATATCCAAGTTACGGTTAAATGTACATTAAATCAGTGCATTAATTCTATATTTTCTTGGGAAAATAACATTTTAAAGCAGTAAACTTTTAAAGGCATTTTCATAACTTCAACTCATAAATAGCTTATGAATAACACTGAAACATGAAAATTTAATAACACCAATAATTTTTGCTTCAAAATTTTTATAAAATATTTAGTAAAGAGTTGTCAAATCTCCTGTTAGCTTTGAACGAGCTGTGAATAAAAATTAATGCCTGAAAATAAGATACTAAAAAAACTCTCAGAGTTCAAAAGCAGATATCCATTACTATTGAACATACGTGGAAATATTTAAGTTTATGCAATTAATTTTGACGAATTTGCAGTCACAAGTTTTGTAGTTTTAAATTGATGTATGTTTATAAGTAATCTTTAAATATTCTTATCGCCATTCTTATTCTCTTATGCTTTCATTACAGTAACACTAAAGAGATGGGGAACACATGCATCTTCGGTGGACAACTTCATTCACTCAGAATTCATGTAATATTAAAGTTTTACTTCCTCTTCAACAGAATTCCTACTGTTATACCATCATGTTCTTCGACCGAAAATTGAGAAGTTTGGTTCAAGAACAAGTCATTGTCTTCTGCCTTCTTAAAAATGTATAGAGAATACTAAAAATATGTCATTTGCGTTAAATTCACAGTAATTTTCTTAAACAATATTTAAACTTTTATGTAATAAAATACTGTTTAAAATCATCGGTGCATCTAACTGTGTATTTTAATTTTATCAAGATGCTATACAACTTCAGCACAATGTAAATCTCTTGGTGTTGCATGCTTGGTTTGATTTAGTTGATTGTGACGAAGTCCGCTAGGGCTCTCTTTGTAAGGAGACAGATGCTTTCGTGGAGGTTTTTGTAAGGGAAACCAGCTCGTAAATACATTATACATGGGGAAATATAAGAAAGCACGCATGCAGTCAGCCTGTTCGCCTAGAATCGAGCCCTGGTTGGAACTACCAGTGGTCAGCGATTTTACCGCTCGGCCGCTAGTGGACCAATTTAAAAAATATGAATTTCATTACATCTCTAGTGAACATTCCTATTCGAAACATTTTCGCATTAATACAATTTGTTTGCTTTGTCTTCTGCAATTTTCCGTACTCCACTTCATAACTTCGCACCTTAAAAGGTGTTGCATGCTATCTTCGCATTTAATAAACTTCGCTTTGTTACAAAATTCTTTAACCTTAAATCATGATTTCAACCTCATTAAGCAATTCCTTTCTAAAGTTTAATATCTGAACAACGCTCCTGCTAAAAAAATAAGCAAAAACGCAAAATATGGTATAAAACAAAAACTATTTAATGGATATACGTGAAATTGATTAAAGGGATTGGTGTGGCATTACTAGACCACATAGCAAACAATAAAGCGGAGACATACAAAAACACTTGCATTACGACCATCTCATAGTAAGAGACCAAATGGATCGGGAAAATGTGCATTGAAAACACACATTAACAACAGGTATGATACTCTGTAGCTAAAATGCATGCTCGACAACAGCCAGACAAGCTGGCAATAGTGTCGTCGATCGCTTGTTGTAGCAGTAGCGCCCATTCCTGTATTAATGCATGTCAGAATTCGTAGAGGGTGCACTGCGACTTGCTGTCCTTCGTCCCAACATGTCCCACACCCGTTATATGGTATTCAGGTCTAGTGATCTAGCAGGCCACGGCAGATGTCGAATGATTTCACTCTCCAGATAACTCCGCACTAGTCGAGCTCCTATGCTTGCGGTTGTTATCGTCCATAAATATCGCATTGGTACCCATTACAGAGATAAAAGGACGCACAAGAGAGTATAGAATTTCGTCGGGATATCGGTCGGCTGTGACGGAACCATCAGGAATCATCGCAGGTCGATGCTGCCGTTCGACGATGTTTAGCGCCCAATAGCGTGTAACTAGCTCTCGCTATATCTTTTCCTTTCGGCAATCATTCTGGATGTTATTTCGAGACTCATCAGTAAGGATTGCGTGTCTCCACTGCTTTGGTGTCCAGCTACGTTGTTCATGGGCCCAATTCAATCATACTCTGACATGCGATAGGAACAAAACACAAACCACGGGTCGTTCGGCGTACTGTCCACCTCCGTTCTCTCCATGCTATACAGCTTAACGGGATATGGGCCGTCCTGCAGCAACAGAGGATGCGATGCCAGCTATTGTGATATTAGTGATCTACGGCGTTTTGCACATAGCAACAGGAAGCGACTACCTGCCATTGTGTTACTCCTCCGGCGTCCAGACCAACGTCTCCTGCAGGGTTTTTAATCCCTTTGGTAAGGATTCCGCACCCTCTTAATGATACTGCGATGCACATTCAGCTCTCTCGCAACAGCGGATTGTCTTGCACCAGCTTGGAAAATTTCAATAACCCTTAAACGTATTTCATCGTGCAAATGGTGTCTTCGTTCATGTTTTCAGCTTTTACTATCTCGTATTACATGGAGCTATATCTGCTTGCGAACTAACGCATAGGTCCTGCATGCACCTTTTTAGAGCGTTGGGGGGGTGACTGCATGATTGAGTTTTGTGCCAATTTTAGTTGCCTATTTGCATTGGGGAATGCAACCTCAATCTCACATGCAAATTGTATGTTTTAATTACCCTTTTACCATCGTATCTTTTCTTTTACCTTTTTTGAACGCGAGTGTGTTTTGTCACTAGCATTAACTCTTCTTCTCCTCTCATTTATTACGTTCTGAGATTTCGTCACTGAAATGAGCAAAACACTGTCGTGTCTAGAGCATAATGCGAAAGGGACAAAGGCCAATAACAATGCAAAAAAGAAATATGCAAGCATGAAAGAAACGTGGAGATTTAAGAAATCGTTTCACACAATATAATATTCTGCGTCCTCGAATTGCCGCTGAGAAACTCGGGTAAGCTTAATTAACATGTTTTAATTGTGAAAGCTTGTCCTTGGTAATAAGGTGTTACGGTTGAGAATTCCTTCCATATTAATTAAGGAAATTAGAGCAAATTACTCTTTCATTTGCAAATGCTCATAATCATCTCTTCTAATTTGTTAGTTTCTTCTAATTTGTTAGTGACGAGGGAAAAAAACTTAAATTATTTTTTCAGTCGGCAGCGAGGAATTTCTAGTACCAGCCAATAAAAGGCTTAATAAATACACCTTTTATTGGCTGGTAGCCTAATTTTCTTACTTGGAATAGTTCATAATCTCTAATCCGCTATAACTCGATTAATTCAGCCGTAGAATCCTAATAAATATAATTTAAGTTTAAAACCTAATTTCTCTTTTCCAGTAATTATTTAAGAGTAAACCAAAATTTTATTTAGGAAGTTCGTTTCGCTGACGTCCATCTTTTTATTATATTAGTCCAGAGCATTCAGGTGTTATATTTTTCGATTCAGAATCAACATGATAATTTACATAACAAATGAAACATTTTCCCTGAAAACCTTCTAAGCAGTTAAGTAGTTGTTTAAAACATTTTATCAGCTTTACGTAGCACACTGGGGGACAGTTTTGCGCAACTCTTTTTTAAAAGTAATTGTGCTGTGAATACTTTGAAAAAGAATTGCTCAAAAAATTGTTTTATAAAGCAAGTGTTCTGTAAAAGTAGCTAAGCAATAGCACTGTACGAGTAGCTAAGTACAAAATCTCATTCGTCATTAATTCCGAACAGGGCTGTGTCCTTAGAGGCAGAAGGCAGTTAGCTATTTTTATGAAGTCCATTAAAAAACTGTATTTCCACAGAAAAGTCCAATCCCAGTATGCTAGGATCTGTAATTTCTGCCACATATGGCGTGTGATGATCGGCGGCACTTCCAAACGTGATGTTAACGTTTACTTTTACTGCGATATCCATCTTCTAGCCGAACACAGTCTGAAGGGTAACGCAGGACAGCGTCCAATCACGTTTACCTTCCAGTTATTGAGCCAAATATTCTCTGAATAATGGTAACGTTGGCTTCTGTATCCATGGTCATATTGCAGGAAACTCCACTGATATGTCCCATGATGAAGAGTATATTACTGCCGTCACTCACTGCAGAAATCTGAAGTGCTTTAAAATGGGGCTTCTGATCATCTGGCAACCTCTGTCCTGAGGAGATGGCCACTAATTAGTTTTCCTATTTCCTGCAGAGAGAGGTCTTAGCTTCCGTGCTCTTGGGTGATCTGCAGTTTCTTGGTATGTTGCCTACCACATCGCAGTTCCAGCACTTTAGGGTCAGTTTCTTGTCACTAATATTCCATCTCAAGGCATTGAGTTGTCTGATTAATCGTCTAGACGAGCAGTGACTTGATCCACTGGCTCTTGGACCTGAGCACTGATTGAATGACGACCTCTACGAGTTGCTTCCTGGTCTACCATGAATTTCATGGCATATACCAGAGCGCATTTTAAATCCTTGACATCCGCCATTCGTAGAACTTTCTGTAATTCAGGATCGCAATGCAATCGATGAAGTACTGCAAGGGTAGGATTTTTCTTGTTTCTGTCAGGCATTCCGAGAAAGACTAATGAAACAGTTTTTCGACATCCGTGGCAAGTTCCTTCAATGTTTCCGCGGGCTTTAGTTGACGGGATTATAATTGAAGTCTGCTGCAATCTTTTAATCATTTCTCACCAAAGCGCAGCTTTAACGCGCCGGATAGAGCTTCAAAGTCTATTCTCTGGTTTTCTGGAAGAGTTTGAAAAATATCCGCGGCCCCTGCTCACAGAGAAGCGGCGAGATGACAGCCCTTAGCTTGGAAATCCCATACATTCGCATCCGCCACTACAGAAAATTGTGTCTTACATACTTGCCAGAAGGTCTTGACATCATACGTGGAGAGCTTTAGAGAGGGAAGAAAGTGATGATGGGTAAAACTTTAAAACTATCAGAGTATTTCTCCCTGCCGTCGCTACGAATTTCTTCAAGGTATCAACTTCTTTGGCGACCGTGCCATCAATTTGTTCATTTGTTGTTGAACGGCAGGAACTACTTCTATTTTTTCTTTAACGGAAGTGTCCAATTATGTTTTCAACGATGTCTATTCTACCATCCATAGCCACAATTTTGTTTTCTATTCTGCATGTAATTTCTCTTTTAATTTTCTCTTGACCTACTATCATTACTACTTTAGGCGCTTTTATCGCTTCTTTAATATAATCTTGACTCGATTTCATTTCTCCTTTAACGGTTTCTTGAACAGATACCATCTTTGTTTGAATGGCTTTTATCTCTTTTTTAACGGATTCTTGGCACGCTTTAACAGTTTCCATCTCTTCTTTTTAAAGAAATATTTTATCACTCCTTTAACTGTAGCAAAGGGTGCTACCAGCTATCTTAACCTGTTGTTCCATCGTTTTTGTTACTGGCATTCAATCCCAATTCTGACACCAAAACGTGCTGCGTGCGTACGGGTTCGTAATAGATTGAATACGCAAGTCCGATAATAGGTTAGAAAAATTTATTCTTATCAAAAGAAATATATCAGAACTCTGGAATTTTCCTCAGAGATATTTGAACAAGCGTTCACAGTATCACGCAATACAATCAGTAGTTCTACTTCAGACTACTAAAAACATTAAACTACAACGCAGTGCAAAGAGAAAGCTAATCCGATCTCATGCTGAATTCGCAACAATAACAACTGAGCTGTTCTCATCTGAACTCTGGCTTTTTATAGCTTTCAGTCGGCAGCGAGGAATTTCTAGTACTTTCTTTCTTCTCGAGACAGACAGACAGACAAAGTAGACAGATGTCTTGTGTTGCACCCGCTAAGTCTTTGTGCACCGATGGGCGAAAAATCAAGCTTAGGTGAGAAGGAAAGGTATATAGAAAGGGGGACAATTTCGTATTTCAGAGGAGAGTAAAAAGGAACTTCGTATATTTTATAAGAGTTTGAAAGGCCAGGAAGAAAAGATGGAACAAATTAAATTAAAAATAAATGGCCCAAAAGTAATGGAGAGAAAAAAAAATATTTTTAGAAAAATAAAAGGGCTTATAGAATGAAAAGGAAAAGAAGTAGGAGAATTTTCCTAAAAAAAGGGGTTGTGACCATGAGTGTAGTCAAAAGGGGAGGAAGTTGTTGTCATTTGTATTAAAAAAGTGTCTTCCAGGTGTACGTAGTGAGTGTGTTTGAGAAAGCTGATTAGATTTGAAGATGGGGGGGGGAAATTAAATATAAAATTATAAATTTTGAGGGTCCAGTCACATAACAGTTTAAATCTAGTTTAGAAGCTAACTTTTGCTATGACGAGGGAAAAAAACTTAAATTATTTTTTTAACATGGGAAACAAGGAATATGTTTACCATGGGAATATGTTTGCCTCTACCTTGACACAGCAACAAAAGGCACATAATGTCAAGCAAAATTATATATTAACTAAAGTAACATTATATATTGCGGTTTCCAACATATTCATACATTTTTCAGTAAACAGCATCAGGCAAAATCATAAATCCATACAGTGCAAGAGCGTATCAGCAAAAATTAAATAAGAAAATAAGTTACAGAGTTTATTTTTATTTTAATGTTAATTTTTCTTTTTTAATTAAACATTTTATTTATTTATTTATTTAACCGTCCAAGATCGCCTTTTTTCCCTCTCGAGAAATTCCTCAGAGGGACCCTGATGGGTAGTGCTAATAAACGAATGCTACTGATAAGGAATATTAATAAGCATAGCGTCCCCTACGGAATAGTTACGAAAAAAAAAAGGAACCACATGATTTAAAGCAATTACTAAGTATTTAATACCAAAACATAATAAAATAAGCAAAATAATAATGTAATAAATAAATTAATTTAAAGGTTGTAGAGAACCTCACTTTAAAAATGTTGGAAGTGAGGAATCTAAGAACTGATAAGCGAATAATCGTTTGCGTTCGGTGACAAGAAACAAGATAGAAGGGTAACTAACCCTTTATTATTTCAAAAAGTTTTAACAAAACTCCGCCTGGGAGTGTAGAAACAAAGCCCTCACTTGGGCTTGAACTTAAGGGACTAAGAATTAAACTAAACTAAGATTAACTAAAGAAGTATAGCCGAAGCTATCAAGATTCAGATTGAGCTAGCCTCTTAACTTAATTGACTACGAAGCTTAGCAAGGGCCTGAGTACGGCCTTGCGTAATAACAGCTTTGAGAGAGAGAGAGTGGACAAAAAGGCAGACGCGCGTAAATCAGAAACTCTGATTCTCTCTGACTCAGTAAGAAACTTCGTGGTTTAAATACCGCTCCTCCTCATTAAATATTCAGCAAATTCCAAAACTACGTTTTGGCCGGAAGTAGTAAGTTGAAGTTAAGAATTTGACAGGAAAGGAACTTTAACTTAAAATTTAACAGTTAATAAAATTAACATAATCCTTACATAGCTTCCGACCAGACTTTAAATACTCGAAAAATAAGGTCTCAAACCGACCTTGTTTAAGACTTTAAAGTCTGAAAACTTACGTTAACTACACTCTTCCAACTTTTAAATTAACTAAATGACTTTAAAGTTTCGTTTTTAGGGCCAACTTTACAACAATTCTAAAAGCTAGACTAAAGCTAGGAAAAATAAAAATTTACAATTCCTCCTTTCTGGACATATATCTTGACATACATCATCATGAATGGACACTTTATTCTGTTATAACCATGTCAGGTCTTGATCCTTCCATATCTGGAAGGAAATGTCATTAGTAATGCAATTTACAAAGCTTTTCTTTAAATCCTAACTTACGCTTTTATTTCATCATTTGGCCCTCATGCACTTTCTTTCATTCATACTACAGTTTTATTTCACCCACACTCTCCAGCAAATGTACTGAAATGTACTTAGGGTCTTCTATGTTGTATTACCGCGAACAAAACTACCGCTCAACACATAATTTTGTTAACTTTGACACACGAGACCTTCCAAGACTCCCTACACGAAAACTCTTTCCTAATGTAAGTAAGCGAAAGCTCATATTTGACTTTTAAGCGTGTTAACTGGAAAGCCTATCATTAAACACACACATATATATATTCCAATACACAGAGATCAAAATTTAATTTCTATGTCATTTTAACTTTACGATATTTCGACACAAAGATTAAACATTTCTACATGAACATGAACTTTTAATTATTTACACATCATTTTCGAATTCATTTTACATCAACAGTCATAGTTGCTTAATTACAATTTACCAATATTTACACGAAATCTTATCTTTTCGTTAACAGATTTTAGTATTCTAATAGTCTTCCGACTAAACTTATTCACAATTTACTTCGTGCAACTTGCGAGTTCTTAACAAAAAGTATTTAACTATAGTATCTTCTCGCCAAATTACTAACATAAAAATCTATGCTTACGAACATTTACAATCAAACTTTCGCTATCTGCGATTTAACTTTCCTAAACATCTTTAGCAACTTATAACAAGATGATATAATTTGAACTTCAAAGAAAAATAAGCAAAGAAATTTTCACTTCTCTTCTGTATTCCTGCATTCTGACATTACAGAACTGTTCAAATGCAGGGAACCTGATGACCACCAATCTTCTTCTCGAGCTTTGATGTTCCGCTCCGTTTAATTCCACTCTTTTCCTTTTTTCCCCTTGTCTAGGAATATGGGACTCTTGCGGGCGGGTTGCGGATTCTGGAATGCCAATTTCCTTTTTTGCTCCGGTGGGGATATCCGTCCTTCAGGGTCTTTGAATCTTTCTCTTGGCCCTTTCTAACTTGTTGGTCCGGCACGGTTGTGTCTACAGGTCTTTTTTCTGGCTTTTCGGTCTCCCTGCTGGTCCTCCTTGGGCCTCCTTTGTAGTTGTTGATGCTGGAAACTGTGCTTAACGTCTAGTTTTCATTCGTCTTTGAATTTTCTCCTTTCCTGGAACCTTGTCAGCAGGCCTCCCTCTTGTGATCGATGGTACTTGAGTTTTTGCAGAATCCTCGGTTCTGACTCGTTGATCTGTCGGTCCTAACTTCCTCCTTTTTTGTGCGCTTGTAGCATTACTGGAATGGGTTTCCATGGTCGAAGTTTGCTGGCTCTGCTTTCTTTTTTGTGTTGGGGGACCCCAGCTGTGCTCTTGAGCTGGCGGGCTTCTCTCCTTACTTCCAGGATCCTGTAATAAATCCTGCAATATTTTAAAGTCAGTGCGGCTGTAATAAGGTTTTAACTGATCGATATTTGCAACCAGTTGTTGGCCATTTTCGGCCTTTAAATAAAACGTGGCTTCTCTTATTCTTTCCACCATGTACGGCCCTTCAAACCTGGGCTCAAACTTCGCAACTCTGTTTTCGGGTGCAGATGATAACGAATATTTCAACTTAAGAACTTTCTGTCCCACTTTATATTCCAATTCCCTTCTATTTCTATCATAATAGAGTTTTTGCTTTTGTCTTGCTATATCAGAGCTTTTAATTGCTTCGTCGATAATTTTCTGAATGTCTTTTAACTTGAATTCTTCTTGTCTCTGTTGTACAAAGAACAGCTTATCCAAAGGCGTTATGATTTTTCTTCCTAAAAATAACTCCGCAGGGGTCTTCTGCGTAGTATCGTGCTTTGCGGTTCTCAAGGCAAAACCTAACTCATTGACACAGCTGTCCCAGCGGTCATGAAAATTTTTCACATATCCCCTGATAATTTTTACAATATTCTTATTTACGCGTTCCGCTATATTCGACTGCGGTCTATATGGTACCATTTTTAGATGGCGTATGCCAAGTCCTGTGCACAAATTTTTAAATATACTACTAACAAACTGTTTTCCGTTATCTGATATTACTTTTAGTGGGGCCCCGTATTTTAATATATATTTATTTAAGAACGAATCTGCGACTATTTTAGCTGAAGCTCGATTAAGAGGGACTATATCTACCCATTTTGAAAAATGGTCAACAATTGTTAAAGATATCAGTTTTTATTTATTTTTGTCCTAGGGTAGGGTCCGAGCAAATCTATGCCAACTATTTCATTTGGAAAAGTGGTCTTTATGTTTTTTAAATACCCGCCGGGCTGTAATTAACATCGTTTATTAATTGGCACATATGGCACGACTTAACATACGCCGTAACAACTTTCTGTAACTGCGGAAAATAAACCGCTTCGCGTACCCTCTTTAGTGTTTTTCGTATTCCGAAATGTCCGGCAGATGGTAGATCGTGCAACTCCTCTAAGATACTTGAACGTAGACTCGCTGGAATTACTGGTCGGTATTCCTGATTTTCATTCGTTACCTTTGTATAAAATAACAATTTGTCTATTATTTCGTAATGCTGTACCCTATTGCGAATAGCCGTTAAATCTATATGTTCAAATTTTTCAGGGTCTTCCAGGTATGCGTAAGTATCTTTAAATTCCGGGTCCTTTTTCAATTCTTCGACTATTGTTTCATGGGACTCAATAACTCTTGAGATGAGCATAGCACACTTGATTGTGTTTCCCTCTTCATCAATTTTTATTCGCGAAAAGGCATCGGCTACTAAGTTTTCTTTTCCTGGAGTGTGTTTTATGATTAAGTTGAACTTTTGTAACTTTAAAGTCCACCGTATCAAGCGAGGCGATGACTTTTTTCCTGAATACAAGCGACCCACTGCCGCATGATCTAAGTAGACCGTTATCGGTGAACTTCCGAAGCAGACAAAATACTTCTGAACTGCTAATAATACAGAGAGCGTTTTTCGCTCAGTAGCAGAATAGCTCCTCTGAGTAGCATTCAAGGTTTTTGAAAATAAAAGCTATTGGTTGCCCATTTTGGGAGAGCACCGCTCCAACTACATAATCGGATGCATCCGCTGAAATTTCTAGACCTTGCTCGCCTTCTGGGAATTTAAGGACTGGGGCATTGATTAGGGCATTCTTAGTTGTTCAAACGCTGTGTTCGCCTCGGCTGTCAAAGAAAATCTACTTTTCTTTCTTTTTAGCACTAGAAGAAGCTCAACTATTTTCGAAAAGTCCTTTATGAACATTCTATAATAGGAAAGCCCAAAAATGAAGACAATTTCTTAGCCGTGTTTGGGGGAGGATAACTTTTAATTGACTTAATTTTTGAATCATCAGTCTCTATTCTCTTATTAGAGATTTCGTACCCGAGGTATCGCAATTCCTTTGCCGCGAACTTGCCTTTTCTTGCATTTATTTTGAAACTGGCCTCGTTAAGTAAGGCAAAAACTTCTTCCAAATGTTTCAAATGTTCCTCTAATGTTTCGCTGGTAACTATGATATCGTCAAGATAAATAATTGTACTTTTACCTAAAACTGGCTTCAAGACTATGACCATAGCTTTTTGGAACGTAGCTGGCGCTCCGCTTAAACCAAAGGGCATTCTTAAAAAGGGCATAGACGCCTGATTTTGTTATGAACGTGGTCTTCTGGACATCCTCCGGCTTAACAGCGATTTGGAAGTAACCCGAAGTGAGGTCTAGGGTTGTCATGAATTTAGTCGAGCGAATTTTTCTAATTATTTCGTCAATTATTGGTAGGGGATACGTGGGATATTTTGTTATACTGTTCAACTTACGATAATCAACTGCAAACCTATACGCGTCCGGGTGTTCAGGCAATAGTCCGTTCTTTTTTCTACAAAGGACCACCAGACGTGCGTACGAACTCGTGCTAGGCACGATTATTTTGTTTCCTAGCATTTTTTAATATGCTTCTCGATAATTTTTTTTTCATTTTATCATATCTATAGGGCTTCGACCGGACTGGAGGGGCATTCCCAGTGTCTATGGAATGACTAACTACCTGACAAAAACCAGGTTTGTCGTTAAAAAAAAAAGAATTAAATTTCCTTACCAGTTCCTTCAATCTTCTTTTTCTCTTCCAGCTTCAAATGTTCTAAATGCAATTCCGGCATGGAAACTTCATCTTCTTCTACCGGGTCCATGTGCGCACCCGAAACGTAGAATTCTGAAAATTAAGATTTGCGCCGGATGCGCGTAAAAAATCGACTTCCAATATAACTGACGTGAGTAAATTTTTCACGACTAAAAAATTAATTTTTAGAACCTCATTTTTAATCTGAACATGCAGTGCGGTTTTCCCCAAACATACGCACTGTTTGCCTTGGGCGGCAATTACTTTCTGTCCCGTAGCTTTAAACAGTCTGTAACGACGAAAATGCTTTTTAAAAAAATTCTCCGATAGGAATGAACCTTGTGCCCTTGTGTCCAGGAGTGCAGTGGTTGGTACATTATTTACCAGAATCTGTACCTCGGGCATAGCTAGATTTTGTACCACCACTGTATTTAAACAAATTTCTGAGGGGTCTTCTTTCCCACTCGGTGACCGTTGCCCCTTCTCGATCACCGGTTTGCGTTTAAATTCTGGTTACCTGCCGCTTCTTTTCGCTGATTTTTATATCCACCGCCATCAGATTTATCTGCGCTCTTGTTCTTGAACTTTTCCCTTTTTCCCGTCTGCCGATACGCCTTGTACTGAACTTGTGGTTCTTCTCTTCTCTTGTGGTTTTCTTGTGATTTACTCCCGTAAATCTTGAGTACTGGCCAAACTGACTTGCACGCGCTTTCTCCGAGTTCCTTCTACTTTGGAATTTCACTGCCAGCTGAAATAGAACTTCTAATGTTTGCGGACTTCGAAGAAATCTTGCTCTGACGGTAGAAGACGTGGTAGAATTAGTTCGATGATTTCTTCACCGGGCCTTTTTCCCGTATAATAGATTAAAAATATGAACTTTTCTTAA